CCTTCTCGTCCAGCACCTCCACCTATTCCTCCATCTTCCCTCACGACCTACTTTTCACCCTCTTTACCTCCCAATGATCCTGAGCATTAACGCTCACCCTCACCCAGAAGTCCACACACACACACACAAACACACACACGCGCGCGTACTTTGTCTCCGTGCTAGTAGTTAATAAAAATTGTAACAATCCCGCGAGGAAAATAAATGTAATTGTTAAGAATTATCTAAATTCTAATTCAAATTATATCACAATTTCTTTTCGAATCCTTCCCTTTTCCCCCTTCATTTCTCTTATCCGCTCTCGGTCCGTCCGCGATAAAGAGATTCAGTTCTCTGATCGAAAAAGGACCACTCGTCGTACGTCGGTACACGAGTAAAGCGATCCTTCTGGTCGTTGACTCGTAACTCGACTTGCTAGTACGATCGAGACCTTACGTCGTGTTGCGTTCTCTACCAGGACGTAACATCCAGACGTAACACTAATAAAAAATAATAAGATAATATTTGTATTTTTTACGAGTTAAATTTTCATGATTTTATAGCGCAAAGTATAGTATAATAAAATAATTATAAAAAGTTGTATAATATTACTCATACGTGTTGTGATAGATATTTATAACCACTGCATCAGTATCAACCGCTCTTGTGTAAATTTTCATTAAACCATCTCGCACTGGAAAGTATTTAAAGAAAGTTAAATTTCGATAATTATATTTTAATTGTAATAATCACAGTACAATCAGTAGAACTTATTATAATAATCAGGGTACAATCAGTACAACTTATTAGAATAATCACAGTACAATCAGTACAACTTATTAGAAAAATCATAGTACAATCAGTATAACTTATTAGAATAAGCACAGTACAATCAGTAGAACTTATTATAATAATCAGGGTACAATCAGTACAACTTATTAGAATAATCACAGTACAATCAGTACAACTTATTAGAAAAATCATAGTACAATCAGTATAACTTATTAGAATAAGCACAGTACAATCAGTAGAACTTATTATAATAATCAGGGTACAATCAGTACAACTTATTAGAATAATCACAGTACAATCAGTACAACTTATTAGAAAAATCATAGTACAATCAGTATAACTTATTAGAATAAGCACAGTACAATCAGTAGAACTTATTATAATAATCAGGGTACAATCAGTACAACTTATTATAATAATCACAGTACAATCAGTATAACTTATTAGAAAAATCACAGTATAATCAGTACAACTTATTAGAATAATCACATTTTAATCAGAACAACTTATTAGAAAAATTACAGTACAGGCTGCCTTCCGAAATTCACTGCTAATATTGAAAATCTATAATTTATGTCACGTGTACTATAAACTTGAGTACTGTACAGTAAATTTCGGAACGCAGCTGCAGTTAGTACATAAATATAGCTTATTCAGAAATAGCATTAATTTATAATTAAATGCGATAAATAAAACAAAATATTACATTTTAATAATAATAATATTAATAAACAAAAAATCTTTAAAATTTTAACGAAACTTTTGCTTTTAATTTATTTTTAGCTTTTTAAATTATTTTTAGATATAATTAGTGTTCTTATTGTTAGTTTCTGGAAATTATAAAGAATTCTGAATATTCAATCTTCAGTTTAGATTTTGCGAGTCTTGCGATGTTACGTTGAGTAATGATTGTATGGGAATAGGCTCTTTGTAACGATGCACATGTTGTTACGTCACGAAACTAAGGGAACGCAGAACACCGCGAACCGAAAGCGCAAGAGGACAGCGCGTCCTCTAAAACAGTAAACAGCGCGACCGCCGAACAACAGCGGTAAATAGCGAATCAAGCGGGATTCGAGATATATAAAACGCCGCGTAATTGTAATCGAGAGATTCGATCATCCGCTCTCGAAAGAGAATCAGAACCGATCCACCGCTCTCGAAGGAGAATCCGATTCCGATTACCCGCTCTAAGAGAGACCGACTCCGCTCCTGGCAGATTACTGTTCGTCGATTGGC